CTTTCTGTCGACTGGCATTAACTTTGTGCCTGATTTTCATAGCACTACATATAGAGTAAATGACAAAACTTGCTCAAGCAAATTTTAATAAAAGGAAATAGAAAATATGGTACATAATAAAACAAATTTCTCCTCGTACCATCAGAAGAATTTTATTGTTGCAGAAAATATGTATTTTATTTAATTAGAAGTATCATGAAATAAAGTTAAAGACAGTAAGTCGTAGAAAACCGAAACTTTGCCAATGCAAAGTAGTTTCAGATAGAGGCGAACCAGAAACAAAAGAGTGATTATGGCTGAAAGCTTCTTATCATCAGGATTTCCTGTACAAGCAATATTTCAAGAATTCAAGGGAAGAACATTTTCAGATTTTGGTTTAATAAATCTTAGCCGTAGTATCACGGGTTACGCAGACAGCTTATTCCATAATTTATCACCAAGTTCCATATCTTAATGGCTTTCGAAAATCATCAGCCATCAGCCATCTTGAATCGTTTTGGGGTGAAAACAGAACAGACGCCGGCCATGCATTCTTGACACTTAATTCTCAAGTAGTTTATCATTAAAAAAAAATAAACAGATAAAAATATGAGTTTTCAAATTGTTACAAAAGAAATCCTTTTACGTTTTGCTCAGTGAATACGCTGTCATTTTTGTGTGTGTGTGTGTGTGTGTGATATGGTTCCACGCCGCTGTGTTGTCATTTCAGTTCGTCTTATTAAAGATTCAAAAGTTGATTGTTATTATTAGAACACTTTAGTCGATATATCATGTTAATTGTTAATTACTCTTTGGTGCCCAATAAACGGGGAGTGTGGCGAACGTTTATGTTTCTTTTTTCTTTTTGAGGACATTTTCCGCCGACCTCCTCTCAGCTTAAAACCAACCCGTTTATTACTTTCGCAGTTTTTACCATTTAAATGATTTCACGATCCCACCTTTTATTAAGAACCTCTGTTTTGTATAATATAGAAAAATATACGACATTATAAAGACTCCCTTTGTATTAGGCACTTAAGAGTATTTATATATAAATGTCTTAATATATATATATATATATATATATATATATATATATATATATATATATGTGTGTGTGTATTGAAAATCCTGTTAACTAAATAATATTAGAAAACAGTTTGCTTTAATAGAAAGCATGTGTATTCCAAAATGATAAAATTATTGGTTCTTTTCATTAATGTATGGATTTCAATAATATTAGTTAACAATCGATGCGCTTTGGGAATTAAAAATGTGAATTTTAACCGGTTTTTCAAAATCTGATATTAATTACATTTCATACATATTGTTATGGTCCGGTTCCTTGTACCACGGTGATAGTCCAAGGTAGAACCAATAAAGAAGAACTCGAACACAGGTATAGAATAACACAGATATATTACAAACAGGAATATATACAGAGAAGTAGAAGTGTTAGTCTGAACAATCAGGTTTAGTAGAGAGAACAATGTAGTCTCGACCAGTATCACTATTCCAATGTCTTGCAGTAATTGTCTGAAACGCGACTCTGTTTCGGACTGCCTCTGACTCGACTCTTGACTCGACTTGAACTACTGACTTCTCTTGAACTACTGGCTCTACTGACTCCTGAGGCGCAGTATTTATTAAGTATGGAATAGTCCATTATTATTATTATTATTATGGGTAAGATCCCATAACACATAGGAAGACGGATTAGAAAGCTATTTATAATAATATAAACACTTTATAACAAAAAGAATCTGTTATTAATTATAGGTTTACACCTATAATTAATAATACTCCTGGTAGAGAGAAGACAAAAGGATTCATGAATTTGAGCACGAATGCTTGATAATGCTCCTTTGAATCTCCTACTTGGGGAGAGGGACCAAAACCTGTGACTATGTACGAAGCCAGATCAAAAGGTCTCGTGGGCCGACAAGAATCTCCCCTCGCTCCTATTAAGTGTCGGAAGACGGTATAGTTTGACTACGTCACACGGTATAACAGCCTCTGATGCAAGGTAGTGGGACAGCAACGCAAGAAGCTAGTCAGACAACATCAATTAATTGGCGGATATGACAATGCCGGAACTCCTGAGAGTCACCGCCAACAATGCCGGAACTCCTGAGAGTCACCTTCCTCGGGGAGGTTGTCTGTTTTTCTAGCTTCATGTCGAGACCCCCCTCCCCGAAGATTGAGACAGCCGAGGGACCGATGATTATGATACCTATGACACCTTTATACTCATCGTCCAACTTTTTTAGGTAAAAATATATATAAGATTATACAGTATTTCCTGATTTCAGCAATAAACTTCTTGAATTTTCGTTAATATAGTCGTTAAACAATGACAAGAAATTATTTGATTCTCTTAATGAAAAAAATAAAAAATTATCAAATTAAAATTAAGTTTAATGAAGATAAACAAATCTCTGTACTATTTTAAAATTTATTCGAACCAAAAGAAACATTTATCTTTTTTAATCACCAACCAAATAAAACATTAAATTTCCAATGCGCACAGTTTGTCGACTGGTGTAGTATAAAATGTTTTTGTCTTTTTTTAAACGAGATTACATTTCATTTATGAAAATTTGCATGAATTCAAGTCGAGGCAGTATAAAGAATGTATCCTGTAAATGTGATGACATAGATGCTAAAGAATTTCAACACATGAATTCCAATATCTACTGACATACTTATGATTTGTTCTATTTCGAACAGCTGCATGTGAATTTAGAAAAAAAGAGTTAATCTTGCATTTCTCTAAAAAGGCTCGTGTTGTCTAACCTTGTGTCATGATGAAATTCAGAAAAGCTTAATACTCAATTTTCAGCTCCACAGTGCCAGAAAACCCTGCTAGTATTCAGAAAATATTAATCCGTCAATAAACATTGGTAGGAAATTAATAACGTACAGAAATTAACTGATATCTGATTTTTGCCGTATTTCATGGCAGCAAGCCAAAATTTCACTGGCAATATTTTGAAGAAAAAAGTTAGATTATTCTTGTACAAGGAGAATAGGAGAGAAAATGTGATAGAAAGTCATTTTGTCAAGTGATGAAAATCTGTTTGACATAAAAATTAGTATTGGCTATCATGACTCGAATTGCGGCATAAAATTAATTAAAATACAAAAGTAACAATCGATCTGTAGGACAGTAAATGTTTTAGTTTTAGTTCAGAAAACTAGAGCCTCTGGTGTCGAGAATGACAGTATATTTTTTTAAGCATTACGCCCCGGGCAAGGCGGGAAGCCACTAGGATGCAAGGGGTTGCAGAAGATTTGGAGCGAGAGCAGATAGGAGTGATAGAAGAAAGGATGAGGAGAAGGATAGTGGATAGATCAAGGCGATTGGAGATATCTATTGACATTACATTTGAATAATTGGAGATTATAGCTCTCAGGGAAACAGTAATAGGGAAGGGTGTTCCACTGGCGAGAGGTGCGAGATATGAAGCTTTTAAGGTAGAAAAGACGGCTACATTTAAAATTTTCTACTGTGAAAGGATGAGAGCGGGGTGCCAGCCTCGTAGGGCGCTTGAATTCATGAAGTCTGGGAACCAGTGAAAGCAGCTCATCGGAGCAATTATCATGAAAGTATTTGTAAAAAAGACAGAGAGAGGCGACGGCGCGTCTGTGAGAGAGAAACTGTAGACGAGATGCCAGCTCAGGGCCATTTATATTACATATCCGCCTCTGGATCTTGTCATGAACTCCGAGGTAAACAGACGGTACACCGGACCATATATGGCAGCAATACTCCATGCAAGGGCGAATGGCTGATTTGTATATTTGAAGTATCGATTCCAGGGAGAAGACAGGAGATTCGAAATAAATCGCCTTGCCATTGAGTAATGGTTAGAGGGCTGATTTCGAACACCATTAATATTTTAAAGACTTAGATTTTTAACTGGGCGCCCCATCACACTTAAGCTATTCATGATAAATATCTGATCGCATAATAATAATAATGGTAAGAAAGCCAATCTCGCCTTACTCAGTGCTTCACACACGTGGCCTTGTACCAGACTAAACTTAGTAAATAACTATAGGTAACTATTTTTTTAGGTTATTTTAGCAGTAAACTAAAAGGAGAGATAATGTGGCAGAAATACTGATTTGAGTTTTTTTCTTCAAAATCACGAAGATTTCCTTGTCATGAAAATTAACATTGGATGACATGACATTTGTCTCATATATCCTTCATACTAGGAAGGCTACCCTACCCAGATAAAATTTCAGGTCTTGTTCTTAAGAATCCTAGACATGAATTATCTCCAGTTTTTGCAAAATTGTTTAACCAGTGTCTAAAGAAGAAATGTTACCCAGGTCTATGAATGGAGTCAGCTGCATGCACTGTTTTAAAGAAAGCGATTGATCACTCGTTTTTGCCGCAATATTGCCCGGTCAAACCCCTTAGTATCATCAGCCAGCTCCCAAAGTCTATCAACAGAATCAACCACCTGAGCGATAAAACTATATGGATTTTCGCGGATTTTCTTGGTAAGATCTAAATATTCCAGCTTTATCAAAGCCAACTGCCGGCATCGCAAAAATAAAATCCGTTTATCAGATGCTTGTTCTACATGCATAATGGACGCTTCGCGATTTATGAGCACATCCATCTGTTAACCAATCCCTGTAGCAGACGCATACCCAAACACATTGGTGTTTGTTCAACACTCACAGATCCCACCTGTGGTTTATACCGCAATTATGCTTAATTACGCTATCAAGGATGATCAGCAGTTTGAACAATGTTAATGCTCAAACCTTCGGTCAAGATAACTATCAGCGGCTTCCGAACAGGCTTGGGTCAAAAGACTTGGGTCAGCCAATGCTATGGTTTTCAAATGTAATATCAAGAAAATCACCTTCCTGACATATCGATAGTGAGATTCGAACGTTGATCTCATATCCGGAAAGCAAACATCCTAACCATTCAGCCACCCATTGCATGCATACATGCAAAATGGTCGCCTACTTGGCCAGCCAATCCCTATTGCGCAGACGGTCAAATCACGCTGAAACACCGGTTCTCGTTCGATCACCGAAGTTAAGCATCGTAGAGCCAGGTCAGTACTTAGATGAGGGACCGCTTGGGAACACCTGGTACTGTAAG